CACCCACTGCACCTTGGATAAAGCTTCTGTCTTACAAGTGGGGGCTGAGTAGAGGAAAGAAGACCCTGACCTCTCAGCTGGAGGCTCTCTAGGAACTTACCCTCTGCAACTTGGAGTTAGAGAAGCTAAGAAATGCTGAAGCCTGCCCCTCCTGGCAAGGGACTGTATCCCTTGATTGGGAGCTGAGGGAAGAGGAGAGCGCAGATCATGGCTCAAGTACCATAGACACTGACTGTTCTTACCAAGATTGAGTAGATTTTCTTGAATAAATGTTTCTTTGTTTGCTGTATGCCCTTAGTACAACTTCCAGAGGCATTGAAAGATTCTCTTTTAAAACAGTTTTCACAAATTATGGTTGCTTCCCTGGAGAATGGATCCCAGGGGCTTTTTACATTGGCATTTCTGGAAGTGGAGTTCCAATTTCACACTGTTTTTTGATGTAATAAAATATTATGGGCAAGAGAGCTTTTGTAGATATTTAGACATTTTAAAATTTTATTTTGCCTGTTTCAATTGCCAATCAATTTTTTTTAGGGTTCCAATATTTGTAGAAGCCCTTGAAGAGTCCATGAGCACCAGGCACAGTATCTATGGAGCCTAATAGAAGAATGACTCCAAAGTGGCTAATTCACTTTTGTGGCAGATGAAGTCACTACTACCAGATTTTATCAGATGGAGCAACATGTCTAGTAATCCCCACTGGGCATATTCCCATCTGAGCAGCAGATACCCTACTCTAATTAGCCCTTCCCTTCAGCATCAATTGCCGAGGAATGGAGAAATTTCAGCCACCACTCCACTGTATAATAATGAGCTTGGAGATGAATCACTCAGTTTAGTATTCTTCTGGCTGCCTATTATCAATGCTGATTGTGTCCCAAAGAGGCAATCTGGGTTATAGATCAATATCCTAGAGCCTTTATCACCAAAACAACCACCAATCCAATCTCTAATTATATAAGGAATGTTCCAAAAGATATGCTTTTCTGCTTCACAGTTTAATTGGGTGTAGCCAAACATATGAAACCATTTTAGAACAATGATAAAGATCAAAATGTAAAATAATTACCTCTAATTACGATGGGACAAGGTGGAATGTGAGCTGGACTGGAAATCTGAAACCTGCATAGGGGATTACTGACATGGCTAAAGGTTTCCACTGCTTGAAAGCCCCATGTAAGCCACATGTGCCCTGTCTATCAAAATCTCAGAGCAATCTGGGATGCAGTCGTAGAAAGTCCATGTTTACTTAGGCAGCATCTATAAATAGCAGTACAGCAAAAGTTGCAGGGAATTCAAGAACTGAAAGTGATGGGATAGGGGGAAATCAAACAACTCTTTACTGACTAATGTGACTCTATAGTCCAGAATATAGGGAGAGGATGGTCCTAGCTGTGTCCTGCATGGGTAAAAACATATCTGGACACTGTATTCACATGTGAACTGCATATTTCATGAGAGTCCCTGACAAACTGACAACATCCAAAGAAGGGGGACCCCACAGTGAAACACACATTACATGAAGAACACTTGAAGGACTTCATCTTTTTACTTGAAAAAACTGGAGTTTCAGAGATAAAATAGCTATTTATAAGTACTTTAACACTGTCCTTAAGTGTAAAAATTGCCTGCACTCAATACTCCAGCTCCATTCCAAGGCACAACCAATCATTCATCTATTCAGCAAACATTTATTTTGCATCTCCTTAGAGTGAGGGCCTGTGTTAAGTAGCTATCTAAGACACATGATAAGTAATGAAAGGTCTAGTAGCAGAGGTTAAACAAGCACGCAAATAATTGAATAACCATAATACCAAGGGAGAGTATGATTGGTGTTATGTGAGTAGAACAAAGCTTACTTTGAAATTTTAAGTCAGGAGTCATTGTGTCTTGCTGGCAAGATCAGAAATGGTGCTTCAAATTGGGCTTCAAAAGTGTGTACTATTTCTGTGAGGAGAAATATATTATTCTAAGGATGCATTCATAGGGGGGAGGAGGGCATGGGCAATATACATAACCTTAACATTTGTACTCCCATAATATGCTGAAATAAAAAAAATGAAAAAAAAAATTTAACAACAAAATAAATAAATAAATAAGGATACATTCCAGGTGGAGGGAAAAGCAGACATAAAAGCTTAGAGGTAGGAACAGAGTTGATAAACTTAGTGGGACAGAGCTGAAGAAACGAACGGTCCAAGTTGACCAACAATAGGTGTAGAAATCTCAAGTATTAGGGGATGAAGCTAGAACAGTGCCAAATAGTAAAGTGCTTATATTTCAGGCTATAGAGAATGACTAGGTAAGTGTATCATTAAAGGCTTTGGAATATAGAGTGTTCTGGGTTTTATTATTATTATTATTCCTGGTATAGATTAGAGGCAGACGCAGAGAGGCAGGAGGTTTGCACAATGGCTAGTCAAGAGGAAATGAAGTCCTGAAGCAGGTTGGAAGCAGGTAGCAGTGAGAAGGGAGACAAGGAAAGAAACTCCAGAGGTATTATAGAAACTGAATCAATAGGACCCAGAGCTAACAGAAAAGTGGGAGGGGGCAAGGAGGGATGACTTTACCGTCAAGTCTAAGGGATATGGAAAGAGCAGAAATCCCTGCTGGAGGAGGAACTAATTCAGGGACAAAGGTGGCAGAGTGAATATGGAAGCTCAATGTGGATACCCTGACAAGTAGCCAGGATAGGACCAGAGGATAGGCTGTCCTAACCCACCGCCTTGCTCCAAGCACCTCTCAACCCTTCCCTAACTCATAATCACACCTCTCAGAAGCTGCTTGCCAAGAAAATGCCTGAAAAGAACAGGCAAGCATAGAGCCAGTCCACCCTAGCAGAAGCTCCACTGGCTTCTCAGCACAATCCTCCATGAAGGCAAGAGACTGTTGCAGAGTTAGAGACTACCCACATACAGAGATTCCCCCCAACAGGGCATATGAAAAGCTGCCTTCTGGTCTGGAACCTGACACTCATTACCCCTGAATCCTTAAAGATCAACCTCTCTGAGTCTCAATTCCTTCATTTGTATGATAGGGATAATAATGTATATTCTACCCATTTCACAGGTTTATGAGATTACACATAGGGAGACAGAAGGTTGCAAAGCACACAAATGCCAGGCGTCATCAAAAGTTCTTTGAGAGCAGAAACTACAGCAAATTCATGTGTGTACCTTGCATGGAACTGTCTATGGAAGGAGGAAGGGAGCAAGGTGGGGCAAGAAAATACCATAGCCTGGGCCCCACAGGCAGTTTGGTGGGGAGTACCACCTAGTAGATCTTCAAGAACATTCTACATCCAGAGAAACAGGAGGGATCATAATAATCGCCCATGTCAACCTTCTTGTGTAATAGATGGGAGGTTTCACTCTTACAATAGGTGTAGAAATCTCAAGTATTAGAGCACAAAGCTAGAACAGTGCCAAATAGTAAAGAGCTTATACTTTGAGCTATAGACAATGACTAGGTAAGTGTCATTGACCTACCCAAGATCTTTAATGGCAGAGTGACCCGGGATATGAAAAATAACTGGAACATCTATACAATCACTGTTTGCTCGGTGTTTTTCCCCACATTATCTTCCTTATCTTCACAAGTCACCTCTGAGCTAGGAAGTATTATTAAAATTCTTAATTTTGAAACTGAGGCTGAATGACTTGTCCAAGGAAAGATCCAAATCCAGACAGTTATACCCCCAGCCCACTGTTCTTTCTCTATACCACAATTTCATGCACATGCTGGTTTTTAGCACAATCATTTTAGCATTCAGTATATTTCAAATTCTGTTTTATTAGTTCTTTTTCTTATTTCACCCTGCCTTCAGCAATATGACACATTCAGATTTCCCTGGTAGGATTCTACTGAACTTTTCTCTTAAAAGGTAGTCACATTTGGCACCAGAAACATTTTTTAATATTGAATTATCCATACTGGGCCTTCCCATATAAATCATCTTTACAAAGTATATCCCAAGTGTATTGAAGATGTGCATCATTATTACACCAAACACATTGGTCTAGCTCACTCAAAAAGCAACAGTGGCCCACTAATTGAAGTAATATTTACCATATAAGAAGCTTATACCTAGAAAGAAAGAAGCTTTAACAAATGTGTAGAAAACTGAGGCAAAGAGTTCCTGTCTTTACCAATAAAAACTAATTTGCATTTATGCGAGGGTCTCAAATAGAAGTCAACAACAGAGAAAAGTATTCCAACAATGCCAGTCGCCCACATCCAAAGTTCTGAACCTGAATGTGTGTCTTTATTGGGGGAACCCCAGGGAACGGATTGGGAAAGAAAGTGCTAAGAAAAAATTAACTAGTAATTGCCACAATTTCCTCTTTCCGTTATTATATAGGGCCTGTGGTTCCATCACAACCCTTATTTCAGGAACAAGAAATGCATGTTTTGCTTCCCTATTTCAACTCAGGGAAGAGGATTAAAATTACCCAGTCTTCTTGGGCTTGCAGGGGTTTCCTGTGGGGGTTCGCCAGCCGTGTGCTGATACCTCCAGCGGACAGTAATAGGCCAGACTACGCAGCAACCCTCTAACGCAACCTGCATCTCCCTACGTACACTTTCTTACAAATGAGCCTTCAATGGCTTGGCAGTAGTTTCTGCTGGAAAGCACGAGCATTCGCTCCTCACCTGTCCTCTCCCTTCTCACTACCCCAAAAATCACAGCATAATTCCCACCCAGGCCCACCCCCATCAGAAGCAGGTAACACATCATAACAGCTCAGTAGCCCTCAGTAACCACCTGGTGCAGGCACCTGCCTCACGGCCTCCCCCGGCCCCGCCGGGCGTGGGGCCCAGCGCCGCGGGTTACTGGCCGCCCCACGCACTACCCGCGGCAGCGCCCGCCTCCCGCACACGCCCAAGGCCTCCCCAGGGAGCGCGCTGCCCCAGCTGCAGGCGAGGGCAGGGGTGACACAACCCAGCGACTATGCCCCACCCTCCATTACTAAAACTCAAGGGGGGAAAAAAGCTTCATTTACCGACATGAGTGATCACGGTGGCCAGTCGCCGGGTGAGCTCCTGGGGGGCCATTTCTTCTTTTAACCAAAACGGCATTTCACTGGAAAAAACCCACTCAGTATAAACAAAGCCAGACAAAACTGTTTCGACTGCTGCTATGGATGATTTTTTTAAAGCATCTCATCTTGAGGATGCTCTGTCCTCACCCTCTTCCTCGCTCTCTTCAGGCACAAAGCGATAGTCCCTCCCAGCCAAGGCCAACTCTCCTGGGGCGCGAGGCTGTAGCCCGCCAGCCACGCCTTGCAGGGACTTATTTTAAAGATTAAGTCTGGCGCTGGCGGCTTCCCAAACGTAACAGCTGGCATTTAGAGAGAGGGAAGAAGCAGTTCTAAAGGTGAAAAAATTAAGTCGCCCCAATCTCGCCGTAACAGCGCCCCGGGCTTCTCTGGCCCAGGGAGCGCGAGGGTCCTGGATGTGGGGTCCTGGGCGGGCGAGTCTTCCGCGCCGCCTCCGGGGACGCTCGGGACGGAGGATGCTCTGCGGCTGGGAAGCTGCGTGCGCCCAGGGCCGAGCAGGGGAAGCGGCCGGCGGCGCGGGCTCCTCTGCGGCGCCCACCTCTGCCCGCCCGCGGGCGGCGCTGGGGCTCTCGGGGAGGCGCGCACGCGCCCAAGCTCCACCCGTCTTGGGTTGGAAGCGCGGCGCCTCCTCCCCTGCTAGCGTTCCAGCCCCGAGCTGACAGAGGGCGACTCCCGCCGGTCCTCGGAACCGTGGGGAGGGAGGACAGCAACGTAGGCGCTCCTGCTTGCACAGGGGTTCGCAGGTCTGGACGCGCGCCTGCCGGTCTCGGCCCCTCCTCCTTCCCCGCCCGAAGAGACTGGGAGAGGGGCCGCCCTCCTGCCAGGACCCAGGCAGTAAGGCTGGATGGAGCCCTGCTTTCTGCCTCCGGATGGGATGGCTGCTGCGGAGGGGTGGGGCTGTTGGAGTGTGTTCCCCGTTAGGGTCGTCTCACGCAGTTATCAGCCTCCACAGGGCACACCTGCACCGGAGCCGGAGCGCAGGCTGTTTACCGACAAGGCCGGGCACGCATGTGCACACTCGGGTTCCCACCGTGGGGGCCTTTTCCTCTGTGCAGCTGCTGCCGGGCGCCACCGCTCCGTCTGCCACCGGTCAGGCCCGCCAGTGCTCCTTTCTGGGGAGGCGGTGGCACAGTCCCGGTGTTGGGCCTCCTCTCCATCAGCCCCATTGTCCCGTGGCTTTTTTAGGTGGCTCCAGACACTACCTGACAGGCAGCAAAAAGACTAACTCGCCCGTTCAGTAGAGCTCCGCGGGGGAAAAACCCAAGCAAACAGGAATTTGGTCAGGGTAGCTCTGAATTCCGGGGGTGGGGTGTTTAATATCCCGCCGGCTTTGAGAGTAGTAGGACCACTCACATGTTCTCATCCATGTCTTTCTTCTTCCACATGTAAAAAGCCAAGCCCCAAACACCCTGGACCCGGTTTCCAGGAGTAGCCACTCATCCCAGGCGGTTGGGGACATTTTTAAAGGCTTTCTGGAACTACAGTTGTGAGCTGTGGTTAAGAAATGACTGTGCAAAAGCTTTTAAATTTGATCAGGTCCCATTTATTTATTTTTATTGCTGCTGTGATTGCCTTTGGGGTCTTCTTCATAAATTCTTTGTCTAGGCCAATGTCTAGAAGAGTATTTCCAACGTTTTCCTCTAGAATTCTAATAGTTTCACACCTAAGGTTCAAGTCTGTTACCCAGCGTGAGTTGATTTTTGTGAGAGGTGAAAGGCGTGGGTACTGTTTCAGTCTTCTACATGTGGCTATCCAGTTTTCCCAGCACCATTTATTGAATAAGGATTCTTTTCCCCAGTGTATGTTTTTGTCTGCTTTGTCGAAGATTAGATGGTTATATGAGGATGGTTTTATATCTGGGTTCTCTGTTCTGTTCCACTGGTCAATGTCAGTTCTTGTGCCAGTTAAAAATTGTTTTAATTACTATAGCCTTGTAGTATAGTTTGAAGTCTGGTAAATTAATACCTCCCACTTTATTTTTATTGCCTAGGATTGATTTTGCTCTACAGGGTCTTCTCTGGTTCCATATGAAGCATAGAATTGTTTTTTCTATATCTGTGAAAAATGATGATGGTATTTTAATACGGATTGCATTGACTCTGTAGGTCACTTTGTGTAGTATAGACATTTTAACAATGTTGATTCTGCCAACCCATGAGCATGGTATGTTCTTCCACCTGTTTACATCCTCTGCTATTTCCTTCTTGAGTGTTTCATAGTTCTCCCTATAGAGATCTTCTACCTCCTCAGTTAAATATATTCCTAGGTACTTTATTTCTTTGTTGGTATTTTGAAGGGAATTGAGTCTTTGATTTGGATCTGATAAAGGGCTGATAACTAGAATTTATTTAGAACTCAGGGAAATCAGCAAGGAAAAATTAAACAACCCTATCAAAAAGTGGGCAAAGGATATAAACAAAAATTTTTCACAAGAAGACAGAATAATGGCCAACAAACATATGAAAAAATGCTCAACATCTCTAATCATCAGGGAAATGCAAATCAAAACTGCAATGAGATATCACTTATTTCCAGTGAGAATGGCCTTTATCAAAAAGGTCCCCAAACAATAAATGTTGGCGTGGATGCAGAGAGATAGGAACACGCCTACACTGCTGGTGGGACTGCAAACTAGTTCAACCTCTGTGGAAAGCAATATGGAGATACCTTAAAGCGATACAAATGAATCTACGATTTGATCCAGCAATTCCACTACTGGGAATCTACTCAAAAGATCAAATGACACTCTACAAAAAAGACACCTGCACTCGACGTTTATAGCAGCACAATTCACAATTGCAAAGTTGTGAAAACAACCCAAGTGTCCTTGAATACATGAGTGGATTAATAAAATGTGGTATATGTATACCATGGAATACTATTCAGCTTTAGGAAACAATGGTGGCATAGCACCTCTTGTATTTTCCTGGATAGAGCTGGAATCCATTCTACTAAGTGAAGTATCTCAAGAATGGAAAAACAAGCACCACATGTACTCACTAGCAAATTGGTATTAACAGATCAACACCTAAGTGGACATATAGGAATAACATTTATCGGGTGTCGCGCAGGTGGGAGGGGGGAGGAGGGGATGTGTATATACAAACGAAATGAGTGATATGTGCAATGTTTGGGGGATGGTCACGCTTGATGCTCTGACTCGAGGGGGAAGGTGGGGCATGGGCAATATAGGTAACCTTAACATTTGTACCCCCATAATATGCTGAAATAAAAAAAAAGAAATGATGTTAGCCACCTATGACTTCAGATTTGTAGAGAGGTTCCTCCCCCCGTCAGGTTTGGGCACTTTGCACTCTGCAGAAGTAGGGGACCCATTTTCATAGCAACCTCTTGCAAGAGATTCAGAAAAGAGTTAAAGACCCAAAAGAAGTGAAGCAGCTTTAGATTGTGTTTCCATGGTGGCGTCTGGCTATTTGAGGGTCACAGGTATTTTTGATGAAACAAATGAGGTATTTGCTGTTGATAATAGTCAGAACCTTGGTGCTCAGTTGGAGCCCACTGTGAGTTTTGATCACCAGAAACCAGCGCATTGTTAAGGACACAGCTGATGTTGGGGCATGCTGATCTGGGAGGGTCTGGATTCACTTTGAAGATCCAGAGTAGCTTTCTCGATTAGGCCACATCCTTATGATTGAGAATTATGAAAAGAAGAGAAAGAAGGAATGGAGGAGAGGAAACGGATGGAGGAGAAGATTGTGAATAAAGATAAGAAAGAAAAAAAGACTCAGAAAGGAAATAAATCACATTCAGAGCACTGCACTCCTTTCCCATGTCTTTCCCTGTGTTTTCAGTCTTCAAGAAGATAAATTAGCTCAATTTATGGTACGATATAGCAGGCAGTGCCTACCCTCAGAAGCTGATTCTGCCCACATCTCTAACACTTGCCATCTCAATGCCGTGACTACTTCATCTGGGCAGTGAGGAGGTGGGTCTGTGATCTACAAGTTCCCTTTTTCAGCTCTGAAATCCTATAACTGTAATTAGGAAGAAATGACCACATATTTAGTGTTCAATAGCCCATACCTCCTTATTCTTCCAAGAATGTGGTCATTGCTCTTATGAATACTGACATCCCTTCTGCCTTCTCTCCTTCCTTCCCACCCTCCCCTCTTCCCTGCATCCTTTTCTCCTTGGTAATTATGATATCTTTTCTGTCTCCTTGTGTTGTGGGTTGAAGGTGGCCCCCAAAGTTCATGCATTGGGAACTTAATCCCCAATGCAACAGTATCAAGAGGGAGAACCTGTAAGAGGTGATCTCTTACAGAGGGGCTCTGCCTTCTTGAAGGGATTAATGCTGTTACCATGGAAGTGGGTTTCTGATAAAAGGATGAATTCAGTACCCTTCTCTCTCTCTCGCCCAGGTGATGCCTTTTGCAATTTTATGACGCAGCAAGAAGGTCATCACCAAATACAGCCCCTCAATCTTGAACTTTCCAGCCTCCAGAACTGTGAGCCAAATAAATTTCTGTTCATTATACATTACTCAGTCTGCGATAGTGTTATAGCAGCACAAAATGCACTAAGACAACTTGGCTGGCAAAATCAGAGGAACAAGCTAGAATACCCTGACTCCCTCTCTAGTGAATCAATTAACAATCATTCACATCTATTGAACATCTGTTATGGTTGTGACTGGCAGTGTCAGGTACAGCAACTACCTCCACCAGATTACAAGTGACTGCTCTGTGCCTGGCATTTTACAAATATCATTTAGGCCTGACAACAAACCTTTAACCACTTTGGTACAGCGCTCACCGGCTATGAAACCTTACCCACAGCAGGCACTCATAGTCTGCACGATAGTTTGTGCTGTGCATTGATGATGAATCCATTTTGCTCTTGTGTGATGAGGAAAGCTTTAAAGCACTGAAAGCTTGTTTTACTTTACAGGCAGCTTTACTTGTAAATCAGAATAGGTAACATATACATATATGTTTGCATTACATTATTTTTGTTGTTTTGTTTTGTTTTTTATTTTAGTGTATCATGGGGGTACAAGTGTTAAGTTTACATATATTGCTCATGTCCCCCCTCACCCCTCGAGTAAGAGCTTCAAGCGTGTCCATCCCCCATTACGTTATTTTTAAATGTTCAGAATTTTATTTTGATAAATGAAAAATTAGAAAAGTCATATCACGGCTGTCAGCTAAGGTCGACGCTTGGCTGTGCACGTTCATCTGTGGCTGTAGACTATAGTCGACACTCATACCGAAGTGGTTAAGGGCTTTAGCTTAAAAAACACAAACCATCCTCCAAGCACTGTCAAGGCAGATCCCATCTCCCTGTGAGTGGACTGTCAGTGCAGCCTCTGGCAAAGGAGAGAAAGACAAAGAACATACCTTGGACAATAACAGTTGTCACTTCGGCCTCCTCTGTTTCCGGTGCCACAGGTAAGTGTGGGGATGCCTAGAGCACCATGGAGGCCCAGCTTAGTCTATATCAGTGGATCTCAAATGTTAGCAGAATCACCTGGGAATAGAGGTAATTTTTATGA